GAAAGAGGGGAACGACTCGTTTTAAAGGAGGCAGGGCCATTCCCTGAGCCCTCACCACCCAACACCAGAGCACCCCTGCGGGGCCCAGGGCTCCGCTTCCTCCAAATCCCAGCCCCACACCTCCCTGCAGCAGAATTCCCACCCTGCTCCAGTTTGGGAACTGGGGAACTTGCAGCTTTTTAGGGCAGTAATTTTCCAGCACGGGCAAAGTTTAAGCGCGGTGCTTTGAAGTGGCAGGAATCTGCCTGTCAATGGGTGCAGGAACAAATATCCAAATCTCTTTTCCTGTCAGAGTTTGTTTTCCTTTAAAAAAACAAAAAACAACCCCAAACAACAAAAGGCTGGCAAATTTTCCCAAATAATTTTCAGGCTGAGACGAAGCAGCTGATATTTCCAAGCCCTGATGGGGGTGGGATGCGTACCCGGTAGAAGAGGGGGATGCTGTCGAAGAGGTACGGGTACACGAAGGCCAGGGTGCGGGATGCTTTGCTGAGCCGGGGCTGCTCCGCCTCCAGAAACCTAGAAGAAAATCAAGGTATTTCACACAACGGATTAGGCTACCAGAAACATCAGGTTCAGTTTTCACTCTTTGCTTTAAATCCAGCTTTAATTAAGCTGAAATACATGAAATGTCGCAGCGTCCTTTGTTTGTCACAACCTGCCAAGACTTTGCCATTGTCATTTCAGAGAAAGCATGGAGAGGGTTACTGAAAACACCCAGTAAATTAATTTAACGAGTTAATTTTAATGCCATCGCCGTTACAATGGAAGCAGCAGCAGCCTGTTGGTTATAATCACCCCAGTGATGAGGAGGAGAGCCTGTGTCTGTACAGGTCCTGCATTTTATTCCCAAGGAAATCACCCTGCTGAAGTGTAGGACGTACTGCATAGCTGAAATCGTGAAAGAATTGACCACCCAGGTCCCAAAAAACCCATTATATGCAATGTGACGGGGGCATCTGGCATCGTACACAGCATTATTGGGCTTATTTCAGTCCGTCTGCACATGGAGATGATTTCCCTGTTTGGCAATTTGCTGTTCACAAGCCAAAGGATGCGAAACCCAACCAACTAACCAAAAATCCAACTGTTGCTCATCAACCAGCACCCAGGATTGGAGATTTTCCTGCAAAGTTGGTAAAATTTGGTGCCTTCGTCACCTCTCAGCATCCTCCTCTGCATCAACCCCTGCTCCCATTGACTTCCATGGGGAGCAGGGAGCTGCAGCCCCAACACGACGGTTTTCCACACAACTCTACTTACAGTTTTATAGGAGAGAGATGCTGACAGGGAGATCTGCGGATTGAGAACAGTTTTAAGCAATCCAAATGACTCTGGAACTGAGCTCGAGCTGCTGCTGTTTCCTAAGTGGGAAGCACTGGGGTTATGGGCAGTGAGCTTCGTTTGCTAAGCCCACCTAACGAGACAGTCGAGAGACGCACGAGACAAAAATAAGAGGGGGAAAAGGAGACAAAAAGAGAAAGAACTGAGGAACAGAAGGGAAAAATACCAATACTGAGAGAGAGCACTGCTCAGTCACACCAAGGATGGATCCAAATCCTCCACACCGGGGAGTTACTCCAGGGAGAAACCCACAGGTGAGTAAATCCTCCCCTATTCAATAGACATAAATGAGCCAAACTCGCAGGATCGGTCAGGAATACCCAGAGCTCAGCACCCTCCCACTGGGGCAGACACACATGAAATATAAAATTAAGAATGAGCTTGGGAAAACAGGAACCGTGCGTTGCAAACCGCTGGTCCTCGCAGCGACAGCCACGAGTGCTGCACAAACACGGCCCTGGGGAGGGATCTCCCCCAGATTAAATACAACGCAACACAGAGATGGAGCACGGTGAGGGCCACTGGGCCTTCCCACATCTGAGTTATTCCAAACAAATCCCCTAATGCCATTCGGGAACAAAACACCATCGTGGTGCTAGGGCTTGGAAGTGGTGCAATGGGCTGCGAGAGTGGGAGTCTGCTGCACACGGGTGTACATACACACATAGGAACATGTATACACACATGTAAACATGCATACACACATGTAAACACGCATACACACATAGGAACACACATACACACATGTAAACATGCATACACACATGTAAACACGCATACACACATGTAAACACACATACACATATCTAAACACACATACACACATGTAAACAAGCATAGACACATGTAAACACACATATACACATGTAAACAAGCATACACACATGTAAACAAGCATACACACATGTAAACACATCCAAAGAGCAATTATGCTGATTTTTGGCAGGACCATGCTCCTGTTCCAACCTCAACACTTGTATAAATGTTGGGGGCACAGGAGCCCACCCCTTTTTGCACTGTTTGGTAGAAAAAGGCCAGCTCAAATGAGGCAGTGAAGGGGCAAATCTTCCTGCATGACACACACCTTATAAAATTACCTTCTGAGCTCTCAAAAATTAAAGCTACTTCAATTCATTTGCATTCCTGATCATCAAACTCCCCTAGTGCCGACACACACCACCTTTCCCAACCCAAAAGTCCCATCTTTCCCCTTTTTCTGAGCTTAAGGCTCGCGTCGTTACACTCCATCCTGTAATTGCAAGGCCTTATTAACAATCTTAATTAACGACCACGCCGTGGCAATCCCGGCAGGCAATCGCCGCTCACCTGGAGTAGCAGGACAGGCTGGTGCTGAGCGCGGTGTTGAGCACCGCGATGGGGACGTAGCAGCGGTGGAAGGCGCCGTCGACCCATTCAGGTGGGAAGACGTAGGCCGAGTACGCCAGCGCGGACCCTGGGGGTGCAGGGGGGTGTGGGGTGAGCTGGGGGGCAGCCACGGGGAGCATCGGGCAGCCAAAACCTCCCCATGTGGGGTTGGAGACTCCTTGTGCTATGAGAAGACCCCGGTGGCTGCTGCGACCCCTGGGCTTGCCCCACAGGGAGGTGACACCGACTTCACCGACACCTTTTGTCTTTAGTGTGGGTTTTTAACTTACTTTGTTGACTACAAACACCAAAGAGCATCGCGCAGCCAGGCCTCTGCCCCAGGGCTGCCCTGTACGAAACCCAGCCCCAAATTACTGTTTGTGCTGGTGTTCATGGTCTTTCCTAAGGGAGTGCAGGGAGGAGGAAGAGGAGGAGAAACTATGCACAAGCAGCTGCCATTTCTGCTTTTCCTGTGGGTACAAGTCCCTGGGGTTCATCCCCATCCCTGGTTTATCTC